GAGATTAAACTCACTTAATTCCAATATTTTCACATCAAACCAAATTCATAAAACACCTAATAAAGTCACACAACTTAATAAGATTTTCTACAAAAATAATAAAACCAAGTATTATTTTTGAGGTTATTACATAATTAGACCGTAATACCTTTTAAGAAATAATTTTTAAAAATAATAAGTAAAATTTTTTTTTTTTATTTTAAAGGATGGTATGAATAAATATGCAAATGTTTGATGATGTGCTCAAGAAAAGCATAATTATATTTGGTGCTACGATTTTGTTTCGTGATATGATTATATTTTGTGATATGATACGTTGTTCATCTTATTTATATATATATATAATTGTTGTATTAATAATTGACACAAATTAAATTAATGTGCTAATCATCCAATTATAAACTAGGAATGAGTAAAGAAAAGTAAATGAAATGAAACAAATTATATATGTGATTTAAGTGATATAATCCTAATCCTAACTCTTATTTATACATAATTATATATGTATGCGGGCCTAACGGGCCGGACTTTTGTGGGCGGGCCGGGCCGGGCTTTCTTGGGCCTAATCGGGCCGGGCCTATGGGCCAGGCCGGGTTTCAAACACTCAAGCCCAAGCCTAGCCTAGCCCAAGGCGGGCCGGGCCATCTCAAAGCCCATAACGGGCCGGGCCGGGCGAGCCCCCATCGGCCCATGAGCCCGCGGGCCAAATGATGAGGCCTAATAGGGTGTGATCCCATTCTCGACTAATTCATCAATAAGGCTGTTGTGGTGTTCAATGAACCACGTATAGCCGCTCGGCTGTAGTATTTATTATTAAAAAAGGGACCCGAGTATAGCGGGGCGGCTATACTCTTTAATACAGCCGTCATATTCTTTTAATATATTCTATTCAAAACGTTTTAAAAACACGGAGTATAGCCGCTCGGCTATACTATTAATAACTTCAAGAAAAAAATAAAAACGGAGTATAGCCGAGCGGCTGTACGGTTTTTAATGTAAATTTTTATTCCAATTAATAGTATAGCCGGTTGGCAATACTCATTTAATATAAATCTACACAAACCAGGCCAAATTGTTTGAGTTCAATTCTAAAATATACGCAGTAGCTGCATTTGATATGTTGTGAAATTAAAGTTAAAATGCAATCGTAGAGAAACGGCTGCACTCAGATGGCTCTTTGTGTCAATCAGGAGGATAGGCTTCGACAATTCATCCGTTTCTTCAGATGTTTTGAATCAGTATATATAGATGAGCTTGATTTCTTCAACCTCCCTCAGTACAAAATTGGCCTCCTTATTTGTTCTGGATCAACGATAAAGCTGAATGATTGTTGCGATGGCGGATGACCGTTTGATTCGAGATATAATGAATGAAACCAATAGAATCAATGGACCAAAGTTTACATGATCCAAAGTAATAGAATAGAAATCCCAATCCACAAACCAAAATGAAACCCCAAAAGCTCAATGTCGCTAGAGTACCAAAGTTGAAAAGTTTGTGCTGTTTCTTTCCAAGGAACACATTGGTAAGAGCGGTATTTGACTCCAATGATGCCTTCACCAACTTCAAACCCTACAAGAGAGAAATATACACGTAAGACATTTAGCTCTCTAAATAGATCAACAAGCCACTGATAAGAGTTAGAGAAATGTATAGGACATGAAACCTCCTTAACTTGAAGTGCATCGATCCCCTTCATATTGAACTTTTGAAGCACTGCAACACTTGATTTGGTGGTCATTGGCTTCACTTCCAAATTATCCATTATCATGTAAATAACACCACCCTTGACATAGCTTGCCTTAATATTGCTGGAGGTTGCTCCAGTAGGAGGAGAAACATATAAGACACCGGGGTGGAAATGTTACATGATCTGCACTGTGGACAAGGGATTCCATAGCTCTCAGAAATACGGTTACTGCACCTCACACAAATGTAGAACAATTTAGAAAGATTCTAGTCATTGTTGGTCGGCAATGGCAATTGAAGGATATTGGCAGCAGAAATTGTTGTTTTGGGTTTGAGCAGGGTGTCCTTAAGATTGAGTGGCAAGTATGAGTTGACACTAAGGGTTTCGGCAATCTGGTAAAGGTTGCCTAAGCAACCAACCATACCATCAGTTGAGAGGAGCCTAGTAACAGTTGCAACATGCAAAGACAGAAAACTGAAAAGGAAATCAACAACTTCATCGCTTGCTTCAGCAAACAGAACTTTGTGGCTTTTTGTGTCAATCAGAAGCTTCAAACTCACGCTAGCGCTGTTGGTGGTAGTCATTGAGGGGATATTAAGGACAGACCTTCACAAAAAAAGTATCCTAAATTCAAATTTTCAAAAATGGCAATGGTGAACGGATCAAGAGGGCCAGTCGACCACAAAGCAACTCTACATATACAAATCTGTCATTACCTATACATGGGGAATATAATCTACAGATGAGTGAATAAATATGTATTTATTTCCACTAGGCAGCCTAAGCGGCTCTAGGCGGCCCTAGGCGGTTCTAGGCGGCTCTAGGCTGCCCTAGGCGGTTCTAGGCGGCTCTAGACGGCCCTAGGCGGTTCTAGGAGGCTCTAGGCGGCCCTAGGCGGTTCTAGAAGGCTCTAGGCGGCCCTAGGTGGCCCTAGGCGGCTCTAGGCGGCCTAGGTGGGTCTAGGGGGCCCTTTTGCCGTTGAGGCGTGGACGAAGGGCGGTTGAAGCGCGCAAGATCTGCTGCTTGTTAGGAAGAAAGACAGAGAGAGGGAGAGATCGAGACGGAGAGGAAGGAGAAGGCGACGCTGGGAAGAAGAAGATATCTGACCTAATTTTTAATATAACTAACGGGTTGGGTTTTGTAAAATGGCCTTAAACATTGTATTAAAATGGGCCTATTTTTTTGTGTCAATCAGAAGCTTCAAACTCACGCTAGCGCTGTTGGTGGTAGCCATTGAGGGGATATTAAGGACAGAGAAGAATGAGCATGTGCTTAAGCCTTCAAAGACCTATTTTATAAGCTTCATAAAAGAAGTATCCTAGATTCAAAATTATTCAAAAATGGCTTTTTTAGGGGTTGAGTGAGATGTGGTGATTGTCATTGACGATTGTCATTGATGACGTCAAGAAGACTGATCCATAATTACATGGACTAGGAGTATATTGTTTGGAATGGATGATGAACTTCATAGATCAAGTAAGAGGAGAGAAATTTGATAGGTAAAGAGAGAGAAGATAATAGATCACTAGAACATGTAATTTTGTCACATGTTCGCATGAGTATGGATGAATTAATCTGGTGTGAAAAATAGGAGGAGCTGTAATGCAAGACATCAAAAAGCTTTTATAAGCTTGCAAACTGCCACTTCAGAAACAAAACTACATTTGGTGTGTTTAGAAATTGAAGTAAGAATTTGTGTGACATGACAAGGGTTTGAGTTGCAAGGTGTAGAAGAGTGAAAAGAAAACTTATTTGCTTGCTTGTAACTTTGTGTGCAAAGAGGACAGAGAAGGACGACAGGCGTATAATATGTCTAAATAGCCTTAGAAAGACCTATGTATAAGCTTAGACAAGCCTTAGAAACCATCAACAGCAATTCAAACTGAATCAATGCTACTGAATCCTAAGAACTCATAAAACTGCCCAAATGGGGGGAAAAACAGAGAACTGTTATAAAAGTTGGTCTCCTGCCAACTGGTTTGAGATTTGATCATGCCGAAAAGAATCGAAGAAATGGAGGCCCAAAACATAAAATCAACAGAAAAACGAAAAACAAAACAGTGCAAATGCCATAGAGAATCAGTGCTTCATAAAGTCCACATTTATCCTTGTGGAGCAGTGTAGATGAGCAAGTTTACTTCAGCTATATGTAGGGTTACAGATGAGTGAATAAATGTGTCTTTATTACCAATATAACATTTCCATCAACTAAGCTACATTTCCAATTTCTTTTTGTCATCTCAAGGGTTGCCTTATAGTTGCTGATGGTGAAGCAATATACATCTTGTGGGACTATAGTTCCTCTGCAGCGTGGACAAATAGCTTAGGGTTGTCTGAGACATACCAACAACTGGTTGCACAACAGAACTGTTCGGCGGGACTTTGGATCATCGGTGGTCAAAATCCGAAGGACATTAGCTCAGCAGAAAGTGTCGTAGGTTTCAGCAAGGCCTCCTCCTTGTTAGTAGCAGGTTGTAGTATGTGTCACTGAGATTTTCAATGCTCTTGTAAAGTTTGACTAAGCTTCCACCCATGTCATCCTTGTTAGAGACGAGTTTAGTGGCAATGCCTAGAGGCAAAAGACAAGACTAAAAAGCAAATCCACAAAAGTGCTTTCCCCCTTCAGCAAACAGAACTTTGTGGCCTTTTTACATGTACTTAATTTTGGCGATTGCCATTGATGCCGTCAAGAAGACTGATCAATAATTTTATTTGAAAAGCCTGAAGTGAACTGGTCGTGAATACCGATTGACGGATAATATCTTTACCCCACAACTAGGATTGTTGTTTTTATCTCATTAATTATCATCCTCTGTTTCAAGATTTATCTTCAATAATTACATGACTAATAGATCATTATAAGGCTGCTTTTGAATATGAGAATTCCTTATTTCACAAATGATAATCCGTATAGAAGAGAACAGCTAGCTGGGTTATAAGATTTATTTCATTCATATGACTGGGATTTAGATCTTGGACTGACTAAACATGGATCTTAATAGCTCAATTTAATTATAAATTGTATTGATCAAATCCATTAACGCATCCTAAACCAGACAAAACTGATTAATCAAATATTCTCCCTGATTTTGATGAGAGTGCTCAATGGAATCAAACTGTTACAACTTACAACCATTTTCACTTATCATTCTTTTTAAGTTGGGAATGCTATTGAAATCTAAGCCCGCGTACATCGTGAGAGAGAGAGAGAGAGAGAGCATTAAGAATGGAACGTTTAATATAAACTGCTTGGCCTGAAAAGGCATTCAGGAATTGGTCCTTGTATTAGTGAATATACAAGAAAAATCCCATTATGAGTTACCAGGGTGTTACAGCACTGTACAACCAGTTGATTAGCAACAAACGAGGCAGTTAGAGACCAGCATCATCCTCCTCCTCCTGTACACAGCAAAGTCCAAAACACATTATGTCAGGATTTGAAGAACACAGCAAACTGAAGACTCGTCAGGGAAAATAAAGGTCAACAATCCTGATTGGAATTAATATGGATCCAGCTATTCAAAATCGTATTTGAAAACTCTATCTTCTCTTTTTTTAATTTACTTAGGAAAGATGACATCAAGGAAAATATTTTGAAGCATTTTCAAATGGAACTTTTTCCATTTACCTCAACTCTTTTTATATTACTTGGTTTTGGTTTTGATGATTTGCTAGCAGTATCAGACACTACCATCCAATCAAAATTCACGGGTTTTGATGATTTGCTAGCGGTATCAGACACTACCATCCAATTAAAATTCACTTCTAATTGGGGATTTTTAATATAAATGGAGACATTAATAGACTTTTCAAGGGGCACCTACTGCAGCTGGCCCCAAATAATAGCAAATAAGGTCTGGTTCCATATAGCAAGTGATTCAGCAACTTCAAAGATAAAAGGTGCATAAGCAAAAACATGTTTAAATGCAGGAGATGGAACAAAATCAAGTGAAATGGCCTAAGGTTGCATGCACCCTATTAGTTAGTATTTCAGTACAAGATCATCAGACTAGGAAGGTTGATTCACTAGTGACCTGCCACATGACTGTGAAAACAGTGTAATCCTAATTCCACTCCAACAAAAAGCTCATTATCTTTCAATTTGGAACCAATTTAAGTCAGTTCCGGTACACCAAGAGGTACCCTTCCAGGATGTGGCATAATGATAACCGGTGCATTTGTCTAAACAGAATAGCCATCTAGAGTTACTATCCCACTCGCAGTTCCTAAAAATACTGCATTAGCATGTCATATATATGGAGGAAATTAGTTCAACAATGGTTACCATCAACTTCATTACCTCAATGGTGTTTGCCACTGGAGTTTATCCTGATGCCTAAAAATGTTGGACTGCAAATTAAGCCATGTGAAGAAACAGAAAATTGATTTGAGCAATGGGACTATAGATCTCTCCTCATTTGCACTGGCGCTAAAATGTTGGACTCAACAATTCGAGAAACTCCTCTTGTTCTTCATTTTCTTTAACAATCTGTTCAGATACAGCATTCAGTGGTCACAGTTAGAAACCCTGTCGGATTTACCAACAATTGACAAGCGTGCATTCCACAGGCTTTAATCCAATAGAAAGTGATACTTTGAAGAAATACAGAATGGATGAACGCAAAGAAATCGACATAGATACCTTAAACCCCAAACAAGCCATAAATGAACACATTAGTACTTCCAGAAATATAACTAGTCACTGCTGAGTAATGACAACGGTTTAATAAATAAGAGTAATGACTACTGAGTTTGGTAGCAAAATAAGTCACAATAAATCTAAACTCCAACAGCAAACAATTACAGATGACAAACTCCACCAAAAAAAACACTGAAAGCTGTCAAAACTCAACAATCATATAGAAGATAGTAACAGAAACCCATTTGGATAAGGACATCACAGCTAACTTGATCCCAGTCAGTCTCTTCTACATCAGTTCTCTCTCTGCCACTATCTAATTGAATCGGAAAATTACCACAGCGAAAAAATCTTCCTACCCAAAGATACAAAACACTGTCTTCACTTTTTCCAACACCTGTATTTGGTGAGTAAATAGTGAAAGCAGATTTAGAATCTAGTTCCCTCACACCAAATGTAGCAATCTTCTCTAAACTGGGCCAGCGGCATACAAAAGGTTGCATAAAATTACATTGTGCTGGACAACTTTCCCCAGTCTCCTTTGAGGCAGAGGATCCTGCACCTTCTTCCAAAGAGCAATTTTTCCAAGGTTCAGCAGAATGTTTGATAAAAGAAGGTTCCTTCTGGCATATGTTGCACTGTTGTCTTGAATCTTCCCCTCCATTTTGAACACCATCCTTTGGCTCTAATACCTTGTCAATATCATCTATGTGACCTACAGAACAAGTACTGTCGTTTATCCTAACACCATCTTCTTTAGTGGAAAGAAATTTTGAGGAAGTACTCATCAGCCTCATCTTATCACTCATCACAGGCAACTTGAGAGACAAACTACCTCTGCGCTCTGCAAGAGGAGATAACTTTTTAGATGGTAACGAGGTTGATCGAGAATAGGACTGTGAACTACAATTGGAAACAACGTTTTCTGCACTGTTAGACATGGGTTGATCAGAAGATTTAGATGAGAGGAGAGACATGTCAGAATCATTTGACAATGTTGAAGAGACTGGAAGAGAGCATGAAGCTGCTGATGGAGAATCCATAGAGGATTCTGAAAAGTACTTCGAACTAGTGCTCGATTAAGAAGATATGGAATCTGGTGATAGATATAGAGGTGAAGAAGAAGAGGATGCTGATGAATTATTTTTAGCTGTATGAACTAACATCATACAATCTGACAAACAGCCCCTCTTGCATCCCTTTCCATGATGGCCTCACAATTCTTACCAATCCAAACATATATGGCAGACGGTATATGAACAATAAATGCACCTCTAGAATCCAGAGCAGAAGGTGATGGATCATTCAACATTTTTGGGACAAGATGCAAAGGATCATAGGGTGAATGTGGAGCAATTCTGTACATCCTCAATAGTGAACTCGGGCTAAGAGGAAAAGCATGGACCCTCTTTTGGCACTGTAACAACCGACAAGCAAAACCCATATTCGGATCAGCAATGCCTCTTGCTGCTTCCACATACTGAAATGCATCATCAAAACTTTGTCCTTCCCTCCACATAAGATACGCAATCACCAATGAGGTGGACCGAGATACCCCTTGACAACAATGAACAAAAACTCTTCCTCCTTGTTCAAAGTAATCAAAAACATCATATAAGATACTAGTACGTCCTCGGTCGGACTGTCCTGCAACCATAGAGTTCTATACACAAAACCCTGAACCCTAGGCGGCTCTAGGCGGCCCTAGGCGGTTCTAGGCGGCCTAGGCTGCCCTAGATGGCTCTAGGCGGCTCTAGGAGGGTCTAGGCAGCTCTAGGCGGCTCTAGGAGGGTCTGGGCGGGCGTTTTTCCGTTGAGGCGTGGATGAAGGGCGGTTGAAGCGCGCAGGATCCGCTGCTTGTTAGGAAGAAAGACGGAGAGAGAGAGAGATCGAGAGAGAGAGAGGAAGGAGAAGGCGATGCTGGGAAGAAGAAGATATCTGACCTAATGTTTATATTTGAATAGTATAGCCGCGCGGCTATACTATTAATTTGAAAAAAAATACGGAGTATAGGAGCAACTCCACCGCAGGTCCAAACCCGGGCAAAAGGGCCCCCTCAACAGCACAAGGCAGCTCCAGCGCTGCAGCCTGCAGCCCGGTTTGGCGTGGGTCCCACCAGCCCGGGCAAGCCCAAGGGCAAGTTTCGCAAGCCCAAGGGCAAGTTTCGCCTGGGCTTCAGCCCGAGGGCTGTGACATCAGGGCTGACGTCAGCTCGTGGCAATTCAAAAAAAAATTTACCGTTGGCGCGTGAGTTACACGCGCCAACAGTAAAAAAAATTTGACTTCAGCGCATGCGCCAGGTGTCGCAACCGGGGCTCTCCGATGGGTTTTTTGGCAGGAATCCAACGGTCCTCGTTTTTTGGGCTAAAAAAATTGCAAAAAAAATCGAAAAAAATCTGAAATTTTTTAAAAAAAATATCAAAAAAGTCTGTATTTTTCCCCTATAAATACCTATCCATTTTATTCACTTTCCACACCAAATCTTCATACAATTTCTTCTCCATCCAATATATTTTACTCTCCACTCACATTATTCACTTTCCACACCAATTCTCCATACAAACTCTTCTCCCTCCAATATTTTTTACTCTCCACTCACATTTTTCACTTTCCACACCAATTCTCCATACAAACTCTTCTCCTTCCAATATTTTTTACTCTCCACTCAA